ATGCTTGTTTACCAGTCAGACGGTCTAACTCCTTTGGGTTACACAAATTCTGATTTTCAAGCTGATCGAGATAAGAGAAAGTCGACCTCGGGTTATGTGTTTATGATGGGAGACAGAGCGATCTCATGGAGGAGTGTGAAGCAGAAATGCATCACAGATTCTACCATGGAAGCTGAATACGTTGCTGCTTCAGAAGCAACAAAGGAGGTTGTTTGGCTCAGGAGCTTCTTACTGGACTTAGGGGTATCTTCGAGTGTGCCTAAGTGTATCACAATTTTTTGTGACAATGCTGGTGCAGTTTCAAACTCGAGAGAACCCCGAGCACATAAGGCCAGTAAACACATCGAGAGAAAGTACCACCTTATATGGAAGATCGTAAAACAAGGAGATGTGGTTGTGACGAAGATAGCATCGTTGATTAATCTAGTTGATCCTTTCACGAAGACTCTGACTGTCAATGTCTTCGAGAAACACGTAGAGGGTCTTGGTTTACGATGTTTTGCAGCTAGACTTTGAGTATAAGTGGGAGAATTGTTATGGCATGTGTTTATATATACTAAAAGTTTAGCTTTAGTATAAGTGGGAGATTGTTGGGGTGTACAGTAAAGCAAACTTTTTAATTGAGCTTTTGGATTGTATTTATTTGATTTCCCATTTGACTGAAATAAATGTTTTCACATTGTTGCATTGATTGCTTGTATGCTAAATGTCCAATTATCTTATATTGTAGACAATGTGGTGTGTTAGTAGTCACACAGAAGATTACATTGTTGGTCCCTTATAAGATATAAATGGAATTCACAACTGAGATAGTTATAGACATGACTATCGGTGTAGGTTGTAGTATAAATTGGATGTAGCTTGTCTTGGCTATTGGTTTATACTAGTGCGCTCGTCGCATTGAATGGATCACAGTTGAGACGTGTTCTTTTGTTCTGACTATCATGAAGAACCTAGGTCTCGGTGACTCTACTAATTCTTAACCCTAATTGTGATATTTAGATATGTGGGATATTTGTTTGTTACTTTGATTTACCATGGGTGAGAGCCAAGTATTGATTCAATATGCTTTGTATCTTGGGTAACAACATTATCTGCATAATATCTTTTTATTGGCACTAGGGCACCGTGTCTTGGACATCCATGTTGATGACGTCCCCTTAAAGAACTCATAAGGATTATCGTGTAAACCCTGCAGGTGGACTTATTTCGTATGACAATAAGGTTGAGTGGTACTACTTAAGGAATAAAAAATATTAATCAATTAAAGCAGTCAGAAGCTTTAATAATTAATGGACGTGCGATATCTTAAACACGGGGAATTATATTAAGTCTAATAGAAGCCTGATTCAGTTCGGGATAGGACGGGAGTGCTATATTAATTCTCTAGTGGAATGAATTAATATTTACAGGCCAAATTGTGTTCTGGGCTTAACATAAGAATTTGGGCCTGTAGGGAGCCCAAACCCTATACCTTCTAAGAGATCCCTAGTCTGGCCCAAGGACTCTATAAAAGGAGGGATAAGCACACGTTCTAAAACCCTAAGAGATCAGTTCACGTCTTCAGCCACCACACCAACGTGGGAGAAGGAAGAAGTAAGTGTGAGGGGTTCAGAGAAGAACAAAAGGCAATCCGCTCATTTCAACCGTTTGGACGATCGTCGTCCATCTGGCGTCCAAACGTGGTCGAGACACAGACTAGAAGATGGCTCAGATAAAATTGAAGCCTTGAAGAAAGGTATATTTCTGTTCGTCCTTTAGGAGCATGCTTAGGTTTATTCGAAATCATGTATGTACATGTTTGGTATCCGATATCGATCTGTGGGTACGATCTCCTCGTCGGCGTGTTCCAGCAGAAGTCGGCCCATTTTATGCTCGTCAGAATGGACATGTCCATAGAACAGTTAGCCGACACGTACCTCAACGGAATCGTTCGACTTCACGGTGTTCCTTTTGAGATTATAGCCGATCGATATCCCCGATTTATAGGCCATTTTTGGAAGGGTCTGAACGAGTCCATGTGGACGAAGTTGAAGTTTAGCTTCGCAAATCATCCACAGACCGATGGACAGTAAGAAAGGACCATTCAGACGCTTGAGGACATGCTTCGAGCTTGTGTTCTAGAGCGTGGTGGTTCGTGGGAGGAGTTGTTACCCAATGTAGAGTTTGGCAACAACTACAGCTATCACTCGTCAATCAAGATGGTACCATTCGAAGCTTTATACGGTCGCAAGTGCCGCTCACCCCTTTATTGGGATGAAGTTGGTGAGAAAAAGGTTCTCGGTCCCAAGTTGATCGAGGACACAGTGCAGAAGGTAGCCGAAATACGAGCGAAGCTGAGAGAGGCACAGAGACGAGAGAAGGCCTATGCTATCAAGCGTAGAAAAGAGCTTGAGTTTGAGCAGGGAGACAAGTTTTTCCTGAATGTCAGGCCGATGAAAGGTGATGTACAATTCAGGAAGAAGGAGAAGCTACAGCCCTAATTCATAGGGCCATTCAATATTCTCGAACGAGTTGGCGTAACAGCCTACCGTCTGACATTACCCCCAGAGCTCTCGGGTGTACACAACATCCTCCATGTGTTGATGTTGAGAAAGTAAGTGTACGACCCGCGCCATTTAGTGAACTTTGACGAGCTAGAGGTGGGGCATAACCTAACGTATGATGAGCAGCCGATAGCAGTTATGGATCTAAAGGTCCGTCGGTTGTGGAACAGAGATATTGAGATTGCCAAAGTTTGCTGGAGTCGCCAAGACGAGTCGGAAGCCACTTGGGAGAGAGAAGCCAAGATCAGAGCTCGTTATCCCAATTTTAAGTTTTGAAATTTTCAGATTGTATATATATGTACTTTTATTTTATGTTTTGATGTATGTAGTTTTGTA